GGGGATTGAACCCAGAACCCTACATGCTGTAAGCATGTGTTCTACCACTGAGCTACATCCTTAGCCCCTCATTCATTTTTTTAAATAGAAAAATTATCTTTACTAATTTTTATCTGCACATGATTATTTTTTAAAAAGCAGTGCTAATGACCACTGTGGTAAAAATGCAGTTCTTGAACCTCAAGAGGATCATGTTGGCTGAGTTTTGTTACAAGGACAGCGAGTCCCTTGGCTGTGACGGCAGAGACAGCTCCCTGCAGCAGCCACACATCCACCTTTTACGCTTTTCCAGTCAATGCAGTAGCAGCTACTGCGGGACTCTGTGGAAGTAGTTGCTAGGTCATACACTTAATCAGAGTCTACAGAGAAATAAGTCATCTAAAATCTTTTGCAAAATCCCAAGAAAATGTAAAAATTCATCGGCCTAATCTTTATCCTTTTTTGGGGTCAAAAATGATCTCGGTCTCCCGAGCCGCTTCCTGGCACACCTCTTCATCAGTACTGGCCAGACACTAGGGAAAACATACAACAAGCAAGCAGCTGTGATTCACCCACCACTTAGCATTTTGTCAAAGGAGAAGTCATGGTCAGCCATCTGGTTATGGGAAAGATCATCCTATTTGATACAGCCATAAGCAATAGATGTCCGGGCAGCTTTCATTTTCTGTGCCATTCAGATCTTGTCTCTCTCTTTTTTCTTCTATTTGCCCATGAACCATTTTTGTGTTTCACCTGAATGTATTTTTAAACTTCTTGTCTTCCTGTAACACCATGGGACACTTGATTTACCTTTAAGATTACGCCGATCCATCATTTGAGCAGCAGCAAACGTTTCGTTAAAGCGCACAGACGGCCACATAGACAGTCCTATCTGCTTTCCCCTCAAGTAGCCACTGTTTAATATCATAGTTATAACCACCATCTGACTTCACTGTGGTTCATGATATGGACCATCCTGGACAAACACAATCTTTCCGCCTTCATCCACTTCCACAAATCCTTTATCTTCAAACTCTTTCACAACATCACCTATCTTATCTTGACAGAAGGACTCTCCTGTCTTTATTAAGGCAATGCCCAATGCATTGTACATTTTATTAAACTCTTGGAGGGAACCATCACAAAGAAACTTCCAAAGTTGTATAATATCTGGATCCTTACTCTGAAGCGGAATGACACACTGATTTGCTCCTCTTCTTAGAGTGCTAAGAAAAGGCCTGAGTATCCCCAGCATGTGGTAAAACGGTCAGATAATCTAGAAGTTTATCTTGCAGGTGAGTGGTGAGCATGCCAAAAAGGATCCCCAACCTCCTACATGGTTTAGCCTGAGCATCTCGTATCTTGCAAATTCAAAGAGGCAGCACATACCTTCTCCTACAAGAGCTGGTCTGAAGTGGCTGCATGCCTTTCTAGCTATCCTGGGGAAGAAAAGTCCACTACAACCTTTTAATTCTCTCCAATGGCAGGGAGCTGAACTCCATTCATCAAGAGATTGGGCAACTATTCTGATACGAAATTCTTCCTTACGTGGACATTAGTGGAACCAAGACTAGCAATTTCAACTTTTTCAATATACTGATTACCTGGTAGGCGTTTGGTAATGTTTTCAGCAATTTCTCTTGGATTTACTGTCAGTTCTTTGGTTTTGAGCATCTGAGAGATGCCTATTACACTATTACACAGATAATCTCCAAATCTGGCTGCTGACTTGGTGTTTCTATCAGAGGAGGATTTCCCAAGTCTGGGTGTGCAGCCTTAATGGCACAACCAAATACTTCTTGAAGGCGGCTATTAATATCAGTCACATTTTAGTTGTCTGTTCTTTCCTGCCTGAAGACTGTTTCGAAGAATATTTAATTAGTACTTTAATTTTAAATTTTCTTCTTGCAAGAGCTACAAATTTGGAAAAGTTTCCAAACAGTTATAGATTTTCAACTGGTCAGTTTCAGCAGTCAGAGGCTTAATCTTTTTTCCTGCTGCAGCAGCCACATGGAACAGGGAGCCACCAACACGCCCATTCTCTTCCTCATTCATCATTTTTGAGCGAATTGCCCATCCATAAAAAAAGCTACCTTTGAGCTCACCTCCCTGATAAGCGGCTGCAGTGTGGCAGACTGTGGTCCTTCCCGGGGGAGGACCACCAGCGTCTCCTGAGATCCGCGCCATGTTGGAACTTAGGACACTGGGAAACCAAGCAACCAGCCTGCCTCCCTGCTAAGCAATAGTGAACTTACTGGTGCATGGCCTAAAGTCTAACATCCCAATTCCTCTACGCCCGTTCCCCTGCCCCCTGTTAGCAATGGGAACCAGAAATCTGAGCATCTCTTGGGAGGTTGACCATAGCAAATAAGGGGGATTTCCTTCTACCATCTCTTTGAAGGCAAATATTTTTGTTACTGTTTTGCTTTATTCTGATTAATGGTACTGCTCTCTTCAATATTCTGTTTTGATAAGTTCTATAATGTTCTATATTTCATTTCAATTTGGTATACATGATTGAAAGAACAATTATTGTAAAGATAACGAAATACCTATTACTGTTATCCCGGTAACCTGCTGTGAAGTTCTGTACCAATTTCACTACACGATGCCAGTTGGCTTTATTCAGTCTTGTTCTGTTGTATTTTACTACTTTCAAAATAAAAAAAAAATGCCACAAAAAAGAACCAGTTAACAATGAAAGACTGAGAAATAACACCAACAAGAAAACAGGGAAAGTAAAGAAATAGAAAGCATAAAAGAAAAGTTAAGAGATCTAGAAGGTGAAAGAAGTGCTGGCTTCTACGGATAGATGACTCCAGGATAGAAAAAAAAATAATTACTGAGAAAAGAAAATATTTGAACAATTTAAATTAGGTTAGAATTTAATGAGAAGAGCAAGGAATTAAAATGTTCCATTATTTGGAAATATAAGCCATCTGAACTTCAAAACCTCTCATATCTTAATGATGAAATTCTGAACGAAATTTAAAAATGCTTTAAAGTGAAGGGCATTTTAAAAATAATGGCATTTTTAAGTGTACAAACTTTTAAAAAGTGACATATACAGTGTTTTTCTGAACGTAATAAGGTCAGCTAAAATAAATAATAAAAAAGGTTGCTTCCAAAAAAAAAAAAAAAGCCACCTTTATGCTGCACTAAGTCCACCGTGTACCCTGAACTTTCTCCAATGCTCTTAAGTGCCAATATGCTTATGGTTAGTCCCTTGATTATCCGTTTTCAGAATTTTCCTGATTATTTTAGAATATTTATTATTCTCTATTAGGATTTCTCAACAAAGGTACTATTGACAGTTTGAGAAGTTAACTGTCTGGAATCGTGTGCATTTACAATGTTTAGCAGCACTTCTGCCTTCAGCCCACTAGATGTCAGTATCACCTCCCAGATGGGACACCAAAATGTCTTCATATATTGTCAATCGCTGAAAACCAATGAGCCCCCAGTGAGAAATGTTTAGATGAACCCTAGTATCGTTTTATCCATGTTTCTACCCCTGAGTTTTCACTGATTTTTTACTTATGATGAAAATTGCAGCACAGGATAACTTAGGGGTCCCTATTCTATTTAATATGTTATACTAACTCATTTGTTATTATAGTTAATCTTCTGTTCCTAAAACCATGTATTCTGTCCTTCCACTTATTTATATCTTCTTTGAAGTGCATAAACTTTTCCTCTAAAGGATTTTAAGATTTTAAAAATATTATAAATTCTTCAACTATTAAGTTTATTCCTAAGTATCTTCATGCCTTCATAAATGGCACTATTTCTTATATTATCATTTTAAGAGGTCACTGATATGAAAGCTACTTATTTGTCTATATAACTATGTATATATCTACTATCTATTTGTATAGAGATGAGTCTCACTATGTTACCAATCTGGCTTCAAACTTCAAATTACCTTCCTGTCTCAGCCTCCAAATAGCCTGGACTCTAGGTGCACATCACTGCAGCTGGCAGGATACATCTGTTTTTATCAGAATCTCTATACATTTAAAATTTATCAAGAGTTTATTATTAAATGAAAAAGATTGTTAATTGTATTAAGTACACCTTCCATATCTATCGTGGTGACCATGTGGTTTTTCTTCTTTGGCTTATTAATACTGTATGCTAGATTATATTCTGATTATCTAACATTAATTCATGCTGAGACGGCATGACTCCACTTGATTGTGATGTACACTACTGTTCTTTTAATCTCTTTTTGACTCCAACTTGCTAACATTTTGATCTCACATTTTTGCACTAATATTTGAGAGTAAGACTCTGTCATCATTTTTTGGTAGTGATTTATTAACTTTTAGAATCAGTATTAGGCTCACTTGATAAATATAAGATGTATTCCTATTTGTTGGGTGTTAAAACCAAATGTGTATGTATATTTAGTATACAATCACTCCTTAAAACAGTAAAACATGTTTTATGTTCTATGGAAACATCAGGCCATTCCCTTTACCTCCAAAAGATGTGTATAAACTTCAAAGGTTCAACTTTTTGAAAAGTGAATACAGTAAATTAAAATATGCCTCTGGAAAAGTACTCTGCAGTGTAATGTTCTATAACAAGAGCACAAAACCTTAAGTGTACCAACATTCAACACCATTACAGGTTAATGATGATATATTTATTTTTCTATTGTAGACAATTTAACACTGTTGGAAGCTGCATTTTAAGAGCAAGACCACAAAAAGCCTAGCTATCTAATATACATGTACAAACACATTTCATACCGAGATGACCCCAGGAACACACATCACATTGCCTGGCTCCCAAAAGCATTTTACAAACATGGTAACAAGAAACCCTCTAGGGGCACAGAGTAATCACAGCACTCCCTCCCCACTGGCTGTAAACTCCCTGTGGCAAGGACACTGTCTAAAACAGTTCCTGGCACAGAGTAAGTGTTCCATAAATATCTGATGAAGGGAGGAATATATGAATCGCTGACATGCTTTCACATGGCCAAGATGAACGGCCACCTGGGCTCCTCCTACCTGCAGTGGTCCTCAGGCGGCTCTCGGCAAGCTCAGAGATGGCTCCGGATGTTGCAGTCTTTTTCAGTCGCGCTACCCCTGATGAGGAGGTACTTCCGGGCTTGTTGAGCATGTCCTCGCTACTGGCTCTCTTGAGCTATGAGAGATGGTAGAGGGAAAGAGAGAAAATGAAAGAGTGCTGCATCCAAAATGTTCTGAAGGACATTCTAGAGAGAGATAAGACTACCACTCCATGAACCCCAACACAGTGAATCCACCAGGCAAGGCATGTAAATAAACAGAGGAGGAAAAAGAGAGAATCAACAACAGGAAAATAACACGACAAGGATAAATCAGTACGTATCAGGTATAACCATCAATGTAAATGGCCTTAATTCATCAATCAAAAGAAACAGACTGGCAGAACGAATCAAGAAGAAAGGTCCAACAATATGCTGCCTACAAGAAACACACTTAACTCAAAAACAAATTCATAGACTGAAAGTCAAAGTATAGGAAACAATATTTCATGTGACAGGAACCCAGAAAGAAGCAGCTGTAGTTATTCTATTTGTAGGTAAAGCGGATTTCATGCTAAGACTGATTAAGAGAGACAAAGGACCTAGTAAAGGAAACAATCCAAGAGGAAGAGATAACAATCATAAATATATCTGCAACAAATAACAGTGTACCCAACTATAAAAAACAAATATTAATGGACACTAAAAATAAAATAACCACTAACACAATTATAATGGGGACCTCTGTGTGATCTGTCACAAATAGATAAACCAGACCAAAAAAAACCAGCAATGGCCTCCCTGGTAAGCAGTGACAGTGTGGGCAGACTGCAGCCCCTCCAGGGGGAGAACCACCAGTGTCTCCTGAGATCTGTGCCATGTTGGAACTTAGGACGCTGGGAAACCACGCAACCAGCCTGCCTCCCTGCTAAGCAATAGTGAACCTACTGGTGCACGGCCTAGAGTCAAACATCCCATTTCCCCCACCCCTCTTCTCCTGTCCCCCTGTTAGCAAATGGGAACCAGAAATCTGAGCATCTCTTTTGAAGTTGACCATAGAAAATAAGGGGGATTTCCTTCTACCATCTCTTTGAAGACAAATATTTTTATTACTGTTTTGCTTTATTCTGATTGATGGTACTGCTCTATTCACTATTCTGTTTTGATAAGTTCTATAATGTTCTGTATTTCATTTTATTTTGATATACGTGATTGAAAAAACAACTATTGTAAAGATAACGAAATATACTGTGATACCTATTACTGTTATCTCGGTAACCCGCTATGAAGTTCACTACACAGTCTCAGTTGGCTTTATTAAGTCTTGTTCTGTTGTATTTTACTACTTTCAAAATAATAAAAAAAAACAGCAATGAAACACACAATTCAACCTTACTTTTGAACAAATGGACTCAGCACATGTTTATAGGATGTCCCACCCCACAATATCAGAATACACATTCTTCTCAGCTGTATGTGGGATATTCTCCAAAATGGTCCATATACTAGCTCATAGGTCATGCTTAAATAAATGCAAAGGAACTGAAATTATCCCATACACATTATCGGCCATAGTGCAATGAAATTGGAAATCAATGGTGAAAGAAACCACAAAAACTTCATAAGCACATGCAAATTAAGTAACATCCTCCTGCCAGCAGCAGCCATGTGGGCTGGGAAGAGAAACAAGAAGAAGCTGGTCCTTTCCTGTGAGCCAGTGGAGGCCATGTGGGCCAGGGAGAGAACAAAGAGGGAAATAATTGCTTCCTGTGAGCCAACTGGGGCATGGGCTGGGAGACAAGAAGTGCAGAGAATGGGGCTGGGGGTTTAGCTCAGCGGCATAAGCACCTGCCTTGCAAGCAGGCAGTCGTGAGTTTGATCCCTGGTACCGATAAAAAGGAAAAAGACAAAAAAAAAAAAAAAAGAAGTGCAGAGAAGCATCCACCGACCCCTGTAAGCAACTGGCTGCTTCAGAGAAACACAGCCTGAGGTGATAGCTACTGAAGTAAAAAAATAACTTAATGCTTGTATTGTTTGACTGATTTTGCAGGCCTGAAGCCAGTAGTCTGAGCATGTGTTTAGAGGATAACAATATGCAATAGAGCTTCTGAAGGGGGTAGCCATTGTTAATTCCCTATCATCTCATTTTAAAGTCCTGTGCCATTTTCTTTGTTTTGTTTACTTTGGTTTTATTCTGTTTTGTTTAGTTTGATTTTATTATATCTGATGGCATGGACAGCTATTTTGAAGATAACAAGATATATTATTGTAGCCATTGTTGATTTCCTATTATCTTGCTTTGAAATCCTATATCATTTTCATTGTTTTGATTTGATTGGTTTCATTCTGTTCTTTTCTTTTTCTTTTTTTATTGGTACTAGGGGTCGAACTCACGATGGTGTGCTTGCAAGGCAGGCACTTATGCTGCTGAGCTATATCCCCAGTCCCTGTTTTATTTTATTGTTTTATTTTATTGTATCTTATGGTATGGAAAGCTATTTTGAAGATAAGAAGCATTATGGTAGCCATTGTTGGTTTCCTTTTATCTTGTTTTGAAGTCCTGTACCATTTTCCCTGTTTTGTTTTGATTTGCTTTATTGTGTTATTTTGTTTGGCTTTATTTTCTTTAAAATAATGATAAATAAACACCCTCCTGAACCACCAATAGGCCACAGATAATGATAATGCCAATACAACATACTGGAACTTATGGGACACAATAAAAGCAGTCCTATGTGGCAAATTTACAGTGGTGAAATCCCAAATCAGAAAAACAGAACCACCTCAAATGAAAAACCTAATGTTGAACCTCAAAATTCTAGAAAAAGAAGAATAAGTCAAGCACAAAGCTTGTACAAGGAAGGAAATTATAAAGATCAAGCAGAAATCCATGCAATTGAGACTAAGGAAACAATACAAAAAATGAATCAAATAGTTGGTTCTTTGAAAGATATAAAATTGAAAAACCCTGAGCTGGGCATGGAGGCACACTTCTGCAATCCCAGTACTTGGAAGAGGACAAGGCACAGGATCATTGCAAGTTCGATACCAGCCAGGGCTACAACGTGAACCCAAAGCCAGCCTGAACTACATACATAATGAGACTGTCTCAAAAAGACCAAAACAAGCAAACAAACAGAAACTCTTAACCAAACTTATAAGAAAAAAGAAAGAAACAAAACACTCAAATCCACGTACTAGGAATGAAAAGGATGAAAATACAACAGATCTTGCTGAAATTTAGAAACTCATCAATACCCACTTTGAGAACCTGTATTCTAGTAAGAAGGGAAACCCAGAGAAAGTGGACAGATTCCTAGGTACATATGAATCACCAAAGCTGAATCAATAAGATATAAAAATTCTAAATAAGTCAATGAAATGTAAGATGTAATTAAAAACCTCCCAAAAAAGAAAAGTCTAGGTTCTGATGGATTCATGGATTCACTGCTGAACTCTATAAGAAATTTAGAGAAGATTTAATGCCCATGCTCCCAAACTCTTTAATGAAATTGAAAGGGTAGCAATACTCCCTAACTCAATCTTCGAGGCAAGTATTACCCTGATACCAAAATCAGAGAAAGATCCACAGAAAGAACCACAGGTCAATCTCCCTAATAAACATAGACACAAAAGTCCTCAATAAGATACTGGCAAACAGAATGCAGCAGATCATCAAGGAGATTATACACCACAATTCAGAAGGATTCATGTCAGGGATGCAGGAATGGTTCAACATATATAAACCAATAAATGTAATAAACCATACTAACAGAAGCAAAGACAAAAATCATATTATCATTTCATACACACAGAAAATGCATTTGACAAAGTCCAACATCCTTTCAGGATAAAAACCCTTCCTAAAATTGGAATAGATGATCTTTATCTCAATCTGTAAAAGCCACCTATGACAAACTAACGGTCAGAATCATACCAAATGCACAAAAACTGAAAGTTTTCACTCTAAAATCAGGGGCAAGACAAGGATGCCCACTGTCAATACAGTTCTGGAAATATTAGCCAGAATAATTAGACAAGAGAAAGAAATAAGAGAAATAAAGATAGGAAAAAAAGAAGTTTAAACTATCATTATTTTGGATGCCATGGTGATCTACAAAGAAGGCCCCCCATATACCAAGACTTCCACACTAAATAATCAAGTTCAGTAGTGTAGCTTGATACAAAGTGGACACTCAAAAATCAACGGCATTCCTGTACACAGATAACAAACTCACTGACAGGTAAACTATGGAAGTAACACCTTTCACAATAGCACTCCAAAAATCGATTTACCAAGGAATTAATCTAATAAGGGAAGCAACAGACCTTTCCATGAAAAGCTACAGTATTCTGAACAATGAGATCAAAGAGGATATCAGAAAATGAAAGATATCCCTGGATCTTGGATAGAAAAAGCCAATATACTGAAAATGACCATACTTCCAAAATTACACAAATTTAATATAATTCTGATAAAAATACCAATAGCATATCTCACAGAATTAGAGAACACAATCCCAAAATTCATTTGGAACTATCAAAGACCAAGAATAGCAAAAGCAATTTCAGACAATGAGGGGGAGGCAAGGGGCATATAATCCCTGAGTTGAAACTGTACTACAAAGGTACTGTGATTTACAAAAAAACAGCATTGTACTGATTAAAAACCAGAGCCAGGATCAATGGAACACATAAAAGATGCAGAAACAACCTCAAACATACTTGGCCACCTTACTTTTGACAAAGGAGCCATATACCCTCCCTGGAAGATAGACTTTAATAAATGGTGCTGGGAAAACTGGCTTTCCACATGCCAAAGATTAAAATTAGACCTACAGCTTTCACCATGCACTAAACTAAAACAAAAATGGGTCAATAATCAAATACTAAATCTACTGGAAGATAGAATAGGCAGAACACTTAAATACATTGGCTTAGGCAAATACTTTATGAGCACAACCCTGATCGTACAGGAACTATCACAAAGAATCACAAGATAGGATGTCACCTTATTAAGAAGCTTTTGCACCACAAAAGAAACCACCACTAGGAGTACAGCTCCACAGCACAGCTCCTGCCTGGCAGGTAAGTACAAAGTCCTGAGTTTGATTCCTGGACACACACACACACACAC